AAGAGGCCCCAAAAAGGCCCCCAAGATGCCCCAAAGACGGCCCCCAAAAACGGCCCCCAAGAGGCTTCAGAATTGCTTCTAAGAGGCCTACGAGAGACCGACCACGACATCCCAAGGCTCCATTACGAACGATGACGTGGGCAGCTTCGAACGCCAGAGCTCCCAGTACGAACGTTGGCGTCCAGAGCTTTGACGACAAACACTGCTATGAGCAGAATCGGCGCTTCCCGTTCTTGTGCGGTCAGGTTCCGGAAAATTGCGGAAAAATTGTCACTCCGCTCAAAAAATCTGACCAAGACGCGCCCAAAACGGCCACCAGGGCTCCAAGACGGCCCAAGAGCGCTCCAAGACCGCCCTAGAGCGTTCCAAGATGCCCTAAGATGGCTTCCGGACGGTCCAAGAGAGCTCCCAGACGGCCCAGGAGGCCCTCAAGAGGCCTCCAAGACGCCTCAAGAGGCTTCGAAGAGGCCTCACAAGAGCGCCAAAGAGGCACAAATCTATGATTTTTGAATCGTTTTTGAAGGTTTTTGGGGTTCTCGCCTTTTCCGTTTCCCGACGCTCCAAGACGGCCCAAGAGGCCCCCAAGATCACTTCAAGACGGCCCAAGAGGCCCCAAAGATCGCTTCAAGACGGCCCAAGAGGCCTCCAAGACGGCCCCAAGAAGGCACCAGAAGGCCCCAAGGCGGCCCCAAGACGGCCCCAAGAGGCTTCGCGGCGGCCCAAGAGGCCGTCAATATGGCTCCTAGAGGGGGCCCAGACGAGGTACACGAACGGACTTTTCGGGTCCTCGGCCCCAAGTGCCCCCCCGGAGGGTCCAGGAGCCCCCCGGGAGCCCCCAAGACGCTCCAAGAGGCTCCCAAGAGGCCCCAAAAAGGCCCCCAAGATGCCCCCAAGACGGCCCCAAAAAACGGCCCCCAAGAGGCTTCAGAATTGCTTCTAAGAGGCCTACGAGAGAGAGACCGACCACGACATCCCAAGGCTCCATTACGAACGATGACGTGGGCAGCTTCGAACGCCAGAGCTCCCAGTACGAACGCTGGCGTCCAGAGCTTTGACGACAAACGCTGCTATGAACAAAAATGGCGCTTCCCGTTCTTGCGCGGTCAGGTTTCTTTGATCGGCGCTGAGCCCCCCTGGCGGCGCCTCCGGCGCAGCCCCTGGCGAGCTCCGCGCGCCAGTGAGAGGGGTTCAGCGCCGATCCAAGAAATCCACGTGCAGCTCCGACAATTTATCCAGTTCGTGGTTCCCATGTGTTCTTGCTTTTCCCGTCCTCTTATGTGTGTGCGTGTGTGTGTGTGTGTGTGTGTGTGTGTTCCGTACCCCTCTGGTTCAAGCTGGCTCATGGCGTCTCCCTGGGGGGCTTTTTCCCCCCAGGGTCAGGGCCCGAGGTTGGCCGGCGCGGCCTGGGCGGCTTGGCCGGGCCGCGCGCCGCGGCCGCCGCCCGCCGCCGCCTCGACATGTCTGCCCGCGGCAGCGCCGGGCTGGCTGGAGGCCCTCGCGCTGGCGGCGCCGCGGGCTCTGCCGCGGCCGCCGGCGCGGCTGCCACTCCCCGTGCGGCTGCGCCGGCTCCAGCAGCTGCTCAGCACTGCGGCCCCGGCCGCTGCCGCCGTGGAGACACCGGTGGCGCGGCGGCGGCGGCAGCGGCGCGTTGCTGCTGCCCGGGCCGCGGGCCCCGATGCCGCCGCGCCCCCATCGCCGCGGCCACCGCGGGCGCCGCGCGCGCTCCCCGCCCGGGCGGCCTCCGCTGCCGCGGCGCCCCCGCCGCTGGCCGCCGCGGGCGGCCGCGTGCGCCGCGTGCGCCCCCCGCGCGGGGCGCCGCCTGCGCCGCGGGCGCCGCATGCGCCGTGCGCCGCGTGCGCGCGGGGGACCTGGCCCCTGGCACCTGCGCTGCGCGGCTGCGGGCGAGCTGCGCGTGCGCCGCCGGCCGCGGGCGGGCCGCCGCGGAGGCCGCCGCAGCGGCATCCGCCGTGTGTGTGCCGCCGCCGCGGCCGCCGACGCCGCCGTCGCGGCCGCTGGCGCGCTCGCTGCCGCCGCGGCCGCCGACGCCGCGGCCGCGGCCGCGGCGGCCGCGGCGGCCGCCTCTGGCGCTTGGGCTGCTTGTGCCGCGCGGTCCCAGGGTTGGGCCGCTGGCGCCCCGGCCGCGGGTGGGGACCTCGGCGTCCGCGTGCCGACGCTCAGCGAAATTGAGGAGAAGCAAGTGAAATGGGCGGCCGACATCTCCAACAGTCGTCTGGCCATGGTGGCGACCATCTGCACTTTCTTCCAGCGCGGCGTGATTGGCTCTGCCTGGGGTGACTGGGCGCGCCACGCGGGCTCTCTACTGCGCGCCCTCGGGAGCAAGCTGGGCGTGCATGACTTGGTTTTCTGGGATCCCGCTGGCTTCACTGCAGGTGGTGCTGCGAACAACTTCGCCCGCCGGGGCTCTGTTGAGCTGAAGCATGGCCTTGTGGCCCTTCTGGCGACGACGAGGTACATTATTTCGGAGATCACCGGCATGCTGCCAGGGTACCTGTCGCCGTCCACCTGCCGGAAGGCCGCAGACAATCTGAATAACCTCAAAGCGATCTCCAAGGTGCTGACGTCGAGCGACTTCGGGAACAAGCAGAATATGTTGGCGGCTGGCATCGCCAACTGCCGCTGGTCACGATGGCGATCATCGGGGTGCTCTTCCACGAGGGCTTTACCGGCTCCGCGCGGGCCGAGTGGGTTCTCTACGCAGGCTCTCTGCCGCGCGCGATCGAGAGTGAGCTGGGCGTGCGTGGCCCGACGTACTTCTGGGACCCTATTGGGCTCGCGGCGGATGGTAGTGCGGACGGGCGGAGCTTCAGCTCGGCCGAGTGGGCATGTTGACGATGATGGGGCACATCATGCCCGAAATCACAAGCGAGCTGCCCGTCTACTTGCCTCCTGCCAGCCTGAAGGGCGCAGACATCCCCTGCGGGCTCGAGGCGATCTCCCAGGCCTCCGCGGCGGGCTGCGTGCAGATCGTGGCCCGCGGCGCGTTCTGCGAGCTGTCCCAGGCCCGACCCGCCGATGCCACTGTTGCCGCGGGCGACGTCGGCTTCCAGGCGCTGAGCCTGGCAACCCGCCCTGCGCCCCGCCGAGACTGCGTTGACCCGGCCGCGGAGCAGTTCCGACGGGCATCGCCACTGGTACCCTCCCTCTTCCATTGTCGCTTCTCCTCATCCCCCCGCCCGAGCAGCGACGAGAGCTGGCTGCTGTAGCACCGAGGATGACCACTGTATCCCCAGGGCGGGGGGCGTGCCACCCCTGTCCCAGGTGTTTTATGCCGCGACCCCCTCAATGCCGACGGGGCCCTGGCCGCCGCAATCGAGGGGGTGCAGCGAGCAGGCGGTGGGCCCAGTGCGGCCTGGGCCAGGTGTTGTTCTCAGCGCGGTGGGGGCATCGGAGACCCCTGCCGGCGGGGCGCCGCCTTCCTTCGCGGCTTCTTCCCTTTGGCTTCGTCGCCGCCCTGATTCTCGCGCGGCTGCGTCCCTTCAGGAAGGCTGCAGCCGGCCTTCCGTATGCTGGGGTGCTTCTGGTGCGGAATGCGCACTGGCAGCGGTGGGGGTGGGGGGGGGGGCTCGATTTTCCATCGATGCACCTAGTTGGTGCCCCCCCAGCTTCTCCCGTCGGCGCGCCTATTCGGCGACCCCCCTGGTCTGCTCATTCGTGCCCCCCCCCCGCGCGCTCGGTGGCGCGGAGGGCGACGCGGATGCGCGGTGGCCGACCCCCCCGCGAGGGTCTTCTCTTCGCCGCCGCGCACCTTGACGAGTCCCGAGGAAGGTTGGTATTTCTGGCGACGGGAAGCAAGGGGTTGGCGGCGTCGGCCACCGACGACCCCCTGGCCACGTGTCCTCTCGGCGGAGGAGACAGGGGGGCGGGCGCTGGCGCCGAGGATTACCGCGGCGCCCCCAGGGCGGGGGGCGCGCCTCTCCCGGCCCATGCGTCTTCTGCCATTGCCCCCTCGATGCTGTCTGTGCTCTGGCCGCCGCAATCAAGGAGGTGCAGCGGGCAGGCGGTGGGCCATGTGCGGCTTGGGCCAGTCATTGCACTCCGCGCGGTGAGGGCGCCAGGGGCCCTGGGCGACGCGACGCTGCCGTCCCTCACGTGTTTCCCCATTCAGGCTGCATCAGGCCCTCCGTGCGCGGGGTCTTTTCCGGCACGGAATGCGCCCCTGGCTGCGGGGGGGTCTCCGTCAGTTACCGTTTGTGCACTTATTCGGTGCCCCCCCGCTCTCTGCAGACAGCTCGCGGCCGCCTACCGCGGCCCCTTCGTTTGAGGACGTAGCAGGAAACGGTGCCCTTGACCGTGGGTCGGCATGCTGGCCCCCGCCCAGGCCTGCCGCCCCCCCCTCTCTCCCCTCTTTGCTTGGTTTTCAGGCCAGCGCGCGGTCCCCTTGGCAGCTCTGCCAGTGGTGGGCCTGCGCGCTCGCTGTCTCCCTCCTCCGCAGCCGCCCCCTTCCGCTCCTCGCAGGTCAGCAAATCTCGGCGCCCTCCGCCCCAACGGTGGTCACCCTTCCGCCGCGCCTCGCAGGTCACCAGATCTCGGCGCTCGCCTACCCCAGCCGCTGCCTGGCGTCGCGGCTGGCTCCCCCCCGCGCCCGCCCTGCCGCTTCCGGGACTTGCCTGAGCGGGCTCGGCTTCCTCTTCTCTCCTCCCGCCTGCGCCGGGCGTCCTTTCCTATTCCCCCGTGCACCGCAGCCCACTTTGCATCTAGCGCACCCCACTGATGCCCGATCGCTGGAGCAGTAACCTCTGCCCAGCCGCCGACGGAAAAGCTGTGTGTGTGTGTGTGTGTGTGTGTGTGTGTGTGTGTGTGTGTGTGTGTGTCTGCGTGTGTGTGTGTGTGTGTGTGTGTGCGTGCGTGCGTTTGCTGGCATGCTTCCAGCCCTCCAGGAGCACGGTCCAGCAGGCGGAGAACACGCAGGTGACATGGCACCCGCTGGACAGAAGGCGGCGGATGAGGCGCGCGCGGACTCCGAGGCCTGGGCCGCGAAGAGCAACGGGACGCTCTACAGCTCCCTCAGGGGCGCACAGGACGCGCGCTCTGCCAGCGCCGCCGGGGCTGTCGAGAGCAGCCCCGCTGTGCGTGCCGACCCCAAGCCGGGACTCTTGCCAGACCCACGCGGCGCCAGCGCCGCTGGCATCACGGAGGGCGGCGGCTCGGTGGCCGTTGGCCCTCCTGGCGCCGCGGAGGCGCCGCGCGCCTCCGAAGCCGAAGGGGCCGCCCGGAGTGGCCCGGCCGTGCCCGGCCTTCCTGGCGGCCCCGGCGCTGTGAGCGGTGCCGGCGCTGCTCCCGCGAGTGGCTCCGCGGCCGCTGACGCCACACGGGGCGCGGGCGACATCCGCGCCGCTCGCGCGGCCGCGGCCGTGACCCGGCTCAGCTCTACAGCGCCAGGGCCGCAGCAGAGGGCCAGCAGCGCGCTCAGTGCTCGCTCGGGGCAGGGCGGCTTCCCTCCGCCCGGTGCCCCGGCGGGCGGGGGTGCCTCCCAAACCAGAAGCTCCCAGGCGCTCGGCGGCGGGGACGGCCTGGTGATGGGGCCCGCTGCCAGCGCATCGGGTGCGGCCGCGGTCAGCTCCGTCGTTCCGCGCTCCCCCGCAGTGGGCCAGGGCGATGCCGAGGTTGCCGACGCTGTGGGCGCCACCGAGGGCGGCTCCGCCATGGCGGCCCGCTCTGCCGCTCCGCGCGCCCCGGGCAGCAGCGATGGCACCGAAGCTGCCGAGATCGGCTCCCCCGCCGCCGGTGCTGCGGGCGCGGCGGCGGCCAGTCCTGCAGGGGAAGAGGACGCCGGCGCTGCGGGCGCTGGTGGGCTCGGCTCCACTGCGGCCAGCGCCGCAAGCGGCGCCCTGGGCGTCCGTGCAGGGGTCAAGGATGGCGCTGAAGCTGCCGCTGCGAGCGCTACCGCCATAAGTGCCGCGGGCGCGGCGAAGGTCGGCTCTGCCACTCCGAGCGCCCTGTTGGACAAGGGCGGCGCCGAAGCTGCAAGCGCGGCAGACGCCGTGACGAGCGACACCGTGGCTGCCAGCAATGCAGCCGCGGCGGCGGCCAGCCCTGGCACTCTGGGCGCCGCAGGGGGCGAGGACAGTGCCGAAGCTGCCGGTGCCACGGACGATTCCGAGGGCGGTTCCAGGACCCCCCCCCCCCGCCGAAGGCCTTCAGAGGTGCGCGCCTTGGAAATGTGGCGCTGATTCGGGGGATTTACCTCGTGGCACTTTGAAGCTGTCGATTCGAATGCGATCTCGGCGCGTGGGCCCCAAACTGCAGGTTCCCGCATTCCAGATGTGCATGCCCTGTGCCGACCGCTGGGCGCCATCGGGCACCAAACCTTGGTGTTCCAGCCGCATGGCACCAACCATCATGCGACCAAGTGATTCTGAAATGCCCCGGGGATCGCAGCGCCCCGCTTGGAAGTCGGCGGTCAGCAACACACATTCCCAGTTCGTCTCTGTCATCGTCGTCACCGTCGAGGCCGCCGGGCCGCAGCCAGTGGCCCAGGCCAGAGATAATTGCTTTTTAGTCGTCCCTGCCGATTGTTTTTGTTGTTTGATTCGTTCGTTCGCATCAGAGGCACCAGCGCATAATGCAACAACCGCAGAGCATCGACAGCAAGCATGAAAAGGACACCTGCCACAGAGCACCGATCGGAAGCGGCCATTTAGCACCGACCAGCGACGGCCGACTGCGACAAACAGGCAGGTGATGCTGATGATGATGATGATGATGATGATGATGATGATGCGGCTGATGATAATGATGACGATGATGATTCTGATGATGTTGATGGTGATGGTGATGGTGATGGTGATGCTGATGATGGTGATGGTGATCATGACGCTGCTACTGATGATGCTGATGATGAAGATGATGATGATGATGATGGTGATGCTGCTGCTGAGGAGGAAGAGGAGGAGGAGAAGGAGCAGGATGATGATGATGAAGATGAAGATGAAGATGAAGATGAAGATGCTGATGATGATGATGATGCTGATGATGATGATGATGATGATGATGATGACGATGATGACGCTGCTGATGATGATGATGATGATGATGATGCTAATGCCGATGCTGATGCTGCTGCCGATGATGATGATGATGATGATGATGATGATGATGATGACGGTGATGATGATGATGATGATGATGATGATGATGATGATGATGATGATGATGATGATGATGATGATGATGATGATGATGATGATGATGATGATGATGATGATGATGATGTGATGATGATGATGATGATGATGATGATGATGATGATGATGATGATGATGATGATGATGATGATGATGATGATGATGATGATGATGATGATGATGATGATGATGATGATGATGATGATGATGATGATGATGATGATGATGATGATGATGATGATGATGATGATGATGATGATGATGATGATGATGTGCGCAGTAATGATGTCAGAGAGGCCTTTCAGTTAAGACGAGTTGGGAGAAGGTAGCAGTAGCATCAGCGTGCCTCGCCCGTTGCCCGCCTCGCAGCCTTTCGTTGTTCGCAGGGCCTGCGCGCTGCCGCTCCGCCGCCAGGAGCGCCCGTGCATGTCTGGCTGGCTGGGTGACCTGCTGGAAGACGCTGCGCGGGAGGCTCTGCGGACGGCGGGCATCGCGTCCTTGGTGTGGGCGGGCCAGAGCGAGCGGGCCTGCCCTGACTGCACCTGCTCGCCCTCCTTGGCGTGCCCTGCGCTGCAGTGCCCGCCTTGCACGCTCGGGGGCGCCGCCTGCAAGAGCTGTCCAGAGGCCAGCTGCCCGGAGGTGGCTAGAGGCCTCGGCGCGTGGTGGCTCGTCGCGGTGGTGGTCGCGGCCCTCGGCGGGCTCGCGGCTGGCTGCTGCGCAGGGGCCATCTGGGGCGCTGGAGTGCGGCGAGTGTATGGCCGACTTGAGGCCGATCGCGCCAGGTCGACTGATCCTGGTGTGGTACGGGGGCGGGGAGGCATACTGGCACGAGCGCCTGCTGCTCTGCCAGGTACAGGGAACGACGTGGGTAATCGCGACGCCTGATGACGACGTCTACCCAGAAGACATCATGGCGCTGGGTGGCAGGCCTTGTGTGCGGGGCTCGGTGCCGCCCGCCATACCCGCCAATGCGCTGCTGTACCGCTTCCCGCCTCTCGGCCAGCATCACACCAACGCTGAGTGGAGGCACATCTTCGATGACGGGATCGCGACGGCCCAGATGCGGCGAGCCGCGATGGGCGTCGATGGCGACGCTGCCGATGCAGAGGCTGGTGCTGTTCGCGATCGTGTGGCTGCTCACGGCTGGGTGGCAGGCACTGGACTACCTGGGGGCCAGCCAGCCGAGGCCGCACCTGCAGCCGCCGGCGCCGTGGTGCCTGCCGCGGCTGGGCTGCCGGCAGCGGCCGCCGCGCCCCCGCTCGCTGGAGGCTGCGCTGCTGTCGGAGGCGGAGGCGGAGGCACGATCGTGGCTGGAGCGGCCGCTGGAGCGCACGCCCCTCTGGCTGGAGCAGCCGCGGCTGGCACGCAGTGGATCGTGGTCGCCAACGATGGCCAGCCAGGTGCTCCAGCGGTGGGAGCCGACTGGAGCGTGGACGCGAGCGCGGTCATCCAGGGGAAGTTCGCCTTCGTCAAGCTTGGGTCGGCCACGCTCGTGCTGGAGCTCATCCCCGTCGGCAGCAAGCTCAGCGTCCTCGAGTGCGAGCTGGAGTTGGCTGTGGCTGCCGCGCCCGCGCCAGGAGGGCTGGCTGCCGCAATCGCAGGCCCGCAGCCCGCCGCCGCTGGGGTGCCGTCTGACGGCCTGGTGCGGTCGGCGGACGCCCGAGTGCTGCCAGTTCTGTATGACCAGATGGGGCAGCGGTTCCGTCCGTACGCCGACGGAGTTGGGCTGCTGGAGGAGCCGCCCTGGAAGGACTTCCCAGTCCAGGGCCCGAGGACGACGCTCTGGCTCTGCAAGTTCATTCGAGAGCAGGGCTGCGTCCCGCGCACCAGGACCGAGAAGTGGATGCGCGAGGCTCATATTCCAGACAATGACAGGGTCAAGCACGAACACGGCAGCCTCATGGAGATCCTGGAGTGGGCCCTCACGTATGACCAGCTGGGCGTTTCGGCATTGGCCTCATTCGAATTGCTTTCGAGGAGGGTTCAGCTTCTGGAGGAGGCCTACACCGCCAACCCGAAGGCGCCACGGTTCGAAGGGAGTGAGCACTTCCAGGGCCTTGGCAAGAAAGTTGCAGCTGTGGCGCCGCAGCTCACCTCGCATGTTGCTCTTCAGCTTCAGGGCGAGGCTCAGATCCAGAAGGAACGACGCAAGGCTCGCGAGGAGGCGGCCCTTGCGAGGAAGGGCTAACAACCCCTCGCATTTACCCTTTTCGTGGCCCGCCCTGGGCCGCCATCCAGCCGCCGTCTTCACCGAGGGCTTCGGCGAGATTTTGTTCGAGGCATGGCTGACGGTCGCCAGCGTGATCTACTGCCCTTGCCTCGAGACCGCGGATGGGAAGGCCCTCGTAGTCTACTCAGCCGTGGAGTTCGACAGCGTATTTGCAGGCGCGCTTGGACTGACAAGCGCTCTGACGAGATCGTTTGGGCCCTCAATGAGCTGGGGGGCGTCGGAAGTGCATCGCCAATCGGACCAGGTAGAGAACAGACGAGGGCTGCTCTCGCACTTGTGCGAGATGCTGTTGCCGCTGCACCCCTGCCCGAGGAGAGGCCCGCCCCGCAAGAAGCCCTCGCGGCGCTTCTGCGTGCAGACACTCGCTATGGTGACAGCGAGTGTGCCGGGAACATTGCGCCGTTTGGCTCGGCTCCAGTCTCTCCGCCGAGTCGTGACCTGGTCGGGGTGGACATTTACAGCGTCTTGCCTGAGGCCGCGTCGCACAAGGTCAAGCGGTTTCGCGACACCATTCTTCTCAGTGATGAGGAATATGCATTACGTATCAAGAACGAGGGGCTGCCCAATCTTTACTTTGACCCAGTGCTGGAGGCACATCCCGCCAAGTGGGAGGGTTTCTGTCGAGAGCTTCGTGACAGGAAGCTGGCGCGATGGACTCGGACTTACAAAGAGAAGGTGGGCTTGTTCTTCGTTCGGAAGAAGAGTGGTGATTTACGACTCATATGTGATGCTCGAAGGAGCAACGTTCGATTTGATATTCCTGATTCTATACCGCTTGCGACTGGTGACTCCCTCGGCCGTCTCACTAGCAGCTCCGAGCAGACCATGTACTCTGCCAGCTTCGACATCAAGGACTACCTCCACGAGCTCAGGATTGACGAGGAGCTGTCGCAGTACTTCGCCTTGCCCCCCAGTTCGTGCCTCAGCAGTGGGTGTGGACAGCGTCAGTGGCGTCAAGGTGGGCCCCAACGAGCTCATCTACCCGGCGCTCCAGACGCTGCCCATGGGGTTCTCTTGGGCGATGTGGGCTGCCCAGCTGGTTCACGAGGAGCTACTGCAGCGAGCGGGCCTGCCTCCCGCTCGTCTACTGCGCGATGGCACTCCTCCTCCTCCTCTTGGAGATGGGCCCGTTCACCTGGCATGCGTCGACAACTTCGGGGTTATCGGCTGTGACAAGGCCGAGGTCGAGACACTGCATCGCAAGGCCCTCGAAGGAGTTCGACAGGCTGGCTTCCACGTTCACGAGATCGAGCAAGTCAGCACCTCCTTGGACATCGCGGGCGTGCACTTGGATGGCGAGAAGCAGGTGGTCACCTTGTCGGCGGCCAGGGCGCGGCGGCTCCACGCAGGACTTCATGCGCTGGTGCGACGCGGACGCTGCGCGGAGCGAGAGATGCGCGCCATCCTGAGCCACCTCTGCTTCGCCTTCTTGCTGCGGAGGCCCTGCCTTTCTTGTATCGCCGCGTCCTTTGCCTTCGCCGAGTCGGCTGGGGACGAAGCCAAGAACATCTGGCCGAGTGTCAAGAGGGAGCTCCTCATCGCCGCTGCCATCCTGCCCTTGGTCTACGCGGACCTCAGCGCGGGCTGGCTCGACCAGGTGGTGGCTACTGATGCTAGTCAGACTGGGCTTGGCGTTTGCGTCGCCGAGTGGCCAGATGATGCTGTGCGATGGGCTGGCTGCCACGACGAGCGATGGAGGTTCAAGAAGGATCCACATCGCAAGCGCCGTGAGGTCGCCTTGGCTGGCTACGACATGGCCGAGCCGCCGATCGACAGGGGCGGCGACCTCATCCCTGGCAGCGAGGAGGGCGTTTGGCTGGCCAACAAGGGCTTCCCCGACATCGAGCCCGCCTCCGTCACTGAGGCCAAGTGGGCAGTGGTCGCCAAGCGTCCTTGTGGCAGCCGCGAGGGAGCCGTCCATGTCAAGGAGGCTAGGGGTGTCAAGCTGGGCTTCAAGCACGTGGTGCGCTGCGGCCGCTGGCGGCGCAGCAAGGTGCTCATGCTGGTTGACAACGTGGCTCGTGCTGGCTCTTCAGAAAGGCCGCTGCCAAGACCCAGCCCTACTTGGTCAGCTTCGTCAGATGGCAGCCCTGCAGCTCGCCACTGGGCTTCGTGTTCAATGCCGCTGGATCCCGTCCGAGGTCAATCCTGCCGATCGGCCTTCGCGACAGTGGGAGCCAGCGCTGGCGAGCACTGGTGCTGCATGGCGTCCTCCTCCTGGGCTTGTTCATCCTGGTGCCTGGGGTTGTCACGAGGGCGCCGCCGGCGAGGGGACGAACGACTTCGGGTGTGGTGACTCGCAATGTGGCGCGCAGGCTCGAGGTTGCGCCGGCGCTGCAGCTAGGCCGCCAGGAACTTCGACGACGCGACCCACTGCCTTTGGAGGACGCAGGATCAGGACCATCCGAGCTGCCGATCCTGCCCAGGCCCCAGGCGACGCCAGCCGGGCGTCGAGGCGGCTCGCGGAGATCGCGGGTCGCAACCTCGACAAGGCAGGCTGCCGCCAAATGCTCAGCCAGCAGCGGAGGCCTGTCCTACCTCGAGAGCATCGCGGTCAGGCCTGTGCAGATCGAGGACTACCACAGGCGCATCGAGGAGTTCTTCACGTTCGTCCGCCGCCAGGGTTTCAAGACCGACACCCTGGACTCCTTGGAGGGGGCCCTCCTGGACTGGGCGGACCGAGCTTACCTGGGTGGCAGGAAGAAGCACGACGGCGAGAAGCTGAAGGCGGCCGTCCTGCACTACTACCCGAACCTCAAGCGGCCCAACACCAAGCCGCTGGCCAGGTTCGAGAGGCCCTTGAAGGCGCGGGGCCGCCGGCGACCAGCTCTGGGCCGCCTGCCGCCGCCATGCCCGACCATCTGCGGGGCGGCTGTGGCCCTCCACCTTCTCGGCCACACGGACATTGCAGTGGCCGTGCTGGTCGCGCTCAGCGCCTACTTGCGGCCAGGGGAGTTGTGTGGGCTCCGCGTTCGAGACGTCGTCCCTCCCGCCCTTGGCTTCGGACCAGAATGCCAGAGGTGGTCGCTCATCTTGGGGCCTTCGGACGACAACGGAGACCCGACCAAGACAGGCGTGTACGACGACAACGTGACCTTGGACCGCGACAACCTGCAGTTCATCGGCGACTTTACCGAGCGTTATCGCAGAGGGAAGCAACCGAAGGACCCGTTGTGGCAGTTCTCGCAGGCGGAGTTCGGCATCATGATCGCGAAGGCCGTGAAGGTCTGCTGTTTCGAGAGCATAGGGATCGCGCCCTACAGCCTGCGCCGCGCTGGCCCGTCTTGGGACGTGATCACAGGACGAAGATCGCAGCTGGAGGTTCAGCGTCGAGGTCGCTGGGCCAGCACCAGCTCACTCATCAGGTACGAGAAGTCCAGCAAGGTCAACTCGCAGCTAGTGCAGCTCAGCGACGACGTCCAGGAGCACCTCAGGCGCTGCAGCTCGCACCTTGGTCACATCTTCCTCGGCTTGGTGTCCGCGCCCCTGCCGCCTGGTTGGAGCGCGGCGACATCTTCGTCGATGTGTTCGCCGGCGCCGAAGGCGTCGGCAAGGCCGTGGCAAGGTGTGGCATCTCGTCGCTAGAGATTGAACTGAGCTCAGGTACGGATATCTTTGCGCCAGGTGTGATAGCTGCGATTCTGAAGTTAATGAGCTCGGGCAGGGTGCAAGGAATCCTTTTGGCTACGCCATGCCGCTCGTTCAGTATCGCCAGAAGAGCGCCCAGATCCTCTCCCCTGCCCAGTGCTGTGAGATCTCCTGAACATATCTGGGGCTTCTCGGACCTCTCCGATCTAGACAAGAAGGTGTGTCTTGAAGGCGACGGGCTCGCAAAAGTAACATGCAAACTCGTTCGGCAGGCCCTTCGATACCGCATCCCGTTCATGATCGAAAACCCCGCCTCCTCCATGCTCTGGGACATTCCGTTTCTGAATCACCCGAGCAACTCGAAGTTTGCGAAAGTCATCGTTTTTGACCAGTGCCAGTTCGGAACCGACTTCAGAAAGCGTGCCTCCATCCTCTTGTCCTCAGAGTGCGACGCGTCGTTCTTAGAGCACAAGTGCACTGGCAAGGCTGGTGTATGCTCGCGCTCAGGCAGGCCTCATGTACACCTTGAAGGAAAGGAGAGTGCTGGCTGGAAGACATATCGTGCAAAACATTACCCGTCGCCTGTGTGCTCCGCGGTGGCCGACGCTTTCAGATCCTTGTGGGCTCGACAGTATGTGGCCACATGTTTCGACCTATCTAACTCCCGGCCAAGAAGATCGGCTTCTCCCTCCCGAGCCCGCCCGAAGCCAAAACATCCATGAGATTCGGAACCTCTCTCGGTGGAGTACGGGGCAGCACCGTTTCAATCGATTTCAGTGTGGCATCTGGTGGCAAGCTTCGCAATGCATCGCTCTGGGATATCATTCTATTGGCCGAGGTAAAGCATCGTGAGAGTGCGTGCGCAGTAATGATGTCAGAGAGGCCTTTCAGCTAAGACGAGTACGGAGAAGGTAGCAGTAACATCAGCGTGCCTCGCCCGTTGCCCGCCTCGCAGCCTTTCGTTGTTCCCATCCCAACCCTCCCTGGGACAGTGCCGTTTCAATCGGTTTCAGTGTGGCATCTGGTGGCAAGCTTCGCAATGCATCGCTCTGGGATATCATTCTATTGGCCGAGGTAAAGCATCATGATGATGATGATGGTGATGGTGATGGTGATGGTGATGGTGATGGTGATGGTGATGGTTTTGGTCATTGTGATGGTGGTGATGATGGTGGTGGTGAAGGTGATGCTGATCATGCTGATGATGCTGTTGATGATGCTGATGAGGCTGATTATGATGATGATGATTGTGATGATGATGATGCTGATGATGGTGATGCTGATGATGATGATGATGCTGATGCTGATGCTGATGCTGATACTGCTGCTGATGAGGATGATGCTGCTGCTGATGATGATGCTACTGATGATGATGCTGATGATGCTGATGCTGATGCTGCTGATGATGATGATGGTGGTGGATTGTGCTGATGACGACGATGCTGATGATGATGATGATGCTCATGTAGATGATGACGACGATGATGCTGATGATGATGAGTATTAGGATGATGATGAGGATAATGATGCTGCTGCTGTTGATGATGATGATGATGTTGATGATGCTGCTGCTGATGATGATGATGGTGGTGGTGATGATGATGCTGCTGATGGTGCTGCTGCTGATGATGCTGCCGATGCTGATGCTGATGCTGATGCTGCTGATGATGGTGATGGTGATGGTGGTGATGATGATGATGATGATGATGACGGCGATGATGATGATGATGATGATGATGATGATGATTATGATGGTGGTGGTGGTGGTGATGATGATGATGAGAATGATGATGCTGATGATGAGGAGGATGATGATGATGGTGATGATGATGATGATGATGCTGATGCTGATGCCGGTGCTGATGCTGATGCTGATGATGCTGATGATGATAATGATGATGATGGTGATGATGATGCTGATGCTGATGCTGATGCTGATGCTGATGCTGGTACTGATGCTGATGCTGCTGATGATGATGAGGAGGAGGAGGAGGAGGGGGAGGAGGAGGAAAAGGAGGAGGAGGAGGAGGAGGAGGAGGACGAGGAGGAGGAGGAGGAGGAGGAGGAGGAGGAGGATTGCTACGCGGATCGTTTGTTGTGAGAGCCACTTGGATGGCCCTCGGGGCTATCTTGGGGTCTTCTTGGGGCCCTCTCGGGGCCCTGTTAGGGGCTCTCTCGGGGCCCCCTTGCGGCCCTCTTGGAGTTGTTTTTCCCAACCATCTTGTGGTGTTGGGTCTTCGTTTTGAAGAGGCGGTGCCCCGCGTTCCTCTCCTCTTCTCCTCCTCCTCCCCTCTTCCCCCCTCCTCCCTCTTCCATGCGTTTCACCCACCCAGTACAGCGTTTCGTGGCCCCATAGGGGGCTCCACCGAAGCCCCCAGTGGGACCGCCCGCATGCGTCCGCCACCACCCAGCACAGCCCTTGCTCCTTGCGTTTCACCCACCCAGTACACCGTTTCGTGGCCCCATGGGGGGCTTCACCGAAGTTCCTAGTGGCACCGCCCGCATGCGTCCGCCACCACCCAGCACAGCCCTTGCTCCCTGCGCTTCACCCACCCAGTACAGCGTTTCGTGGTCCCATAGGGGGCTCCACCGAAGGTCCCAGTGGCTCCGCCCGCATGCGTCTGCCACCACCCAGCACAGCCCTTGCTCCCTGCGTTTCGCCCACCCAGTACAACGTTTCGTGGTCCCATAGGGAGCTCCACCGAAGGTCCCAATGGCACCGCCCGCGTGCGTTCGCCACCATCCAGCACAGCCCTTCCTCCTTGCGTTTCACCCACCCGGTACAGCGTTTCGTGGCCCCATAGGGAACCTCTCCGAAGGTGCCAGTGGCACCGCCCGCATGCGTCCGCCACCACCCAGCACAGCCTTTGCTCCTTGCGTTTCACCCACCCAGTACAGCGTTTCGTGGCCCCATGGGAGGCCCCACCGAAGTTCCCAGTGGCACCGTCCGGATGCGTCCGCCACCACCCAGTACAGCCATTGGTCCCTTCGTTTCATCCACCCAGAACAGCGTTTAGTGGCCCCATAAAAGGGGCTCCTCCGAAGGTCCCAGTGGCACCGCCCGCATGCGTCCGGCACCACCCGGCACAGCCTTTGCTCCCTGCGTTTCGCCCACGCAGTACAGCGATTCGTGGCTCCATAGGGGCCCCCACCGAAGGTCCTAGTGGCACCGCCCGCGTGCGTCCGCCACCATCCAGCACAGCCCTTCCTCCTTGCGTTTCACCCACCCAGTACAGCGTTTCGTGGCCCCATAGGGAGCTCCACGGAAGGTCCCAGTGGCGCCGCCCGCATGCGTCCGCCACCACCCAGCACAGCCCTGGCTCCCTGCGTTTCACCCACCCAGTACAGCGTTTCGTGACCCCATAAGGAGCGCAACCAAAGAAGATATTTACAATTGCGGTACTCATAACTGCATATGGTTGGGTCTTTCGCCATGCTAATTTTGGAGTCTTGGGACCTTCCTGTGGCGATCTTGGCCCCCTGGCTCAAAAGGGGGGAGCTTCATTCGGGTCCGCCCCGACGGCAGCCGAACAATTACCCTTTGGGTGCAGCGGTCTTTCGGGCCTCTTTGGGGCCTCTGGGGCTCCTCTTGGGGCTCTCTGGGGCCAGTTTGGGACCATCTCGAGGCCTCAGATTCCCATCGGTCGAACGGGCGAGACTACAACGACCATTGAGTTCCCTCAGGTTTTGGGGCGATATTAGCCTCGTGGGGGCTCCTTGGGGGACTCCGAGAGGACTTGGAGCCGTCCTGTGACAGTCTTGGGGCCTCTCGAAGGTATGTCGGAGCCTATCACGGGCCACCTGCTGCTACCTTGAGCCATCTTTGAGGTCATCGTGGGGCATTCGGGACCACCTTGGAGCAATCTTGGCTCAAAACGGAACCTCTGACACATCGCCCTTCCACCCCCCCGTCTAGACCCAGGGGAGGGCGTAGGGGGGCGAGGTCAAGTTAGCTACTCCCCCCGAAGGACGACCGTCTCTCTCATTCCCACCCGCCCTTCCACCACATAAGTAAGTAGCAGCCGAGTCTGAGCATAGGCAGATGCCGCCATCGACAACCATCGGGGACCAATGCAGAGGCCAGCCAGGTGCGCGTCCGCGATGTGCGCCGCGCGTGCCAGGGCATCCCCATAATCCGTTTCAAAAAACGATGAATGCAACATGACTGCGGAGTTCCCCCGCGTGGTCCAAGGTTCTGCCGCAAAGTCCACCTCGTGTTTGCTTTTGACGGGGATGGTTTGCTTGTGCGCACCCGGCACTATGCTGGCACACCCGCCGCCCCTACCAAACACATTATAAGGTGATCGCGGGACGCCCGAACATGATCCAGATTTTACCGCACAGTGCATTTGGTATGTTTTTCCCAATCATCCTGTGGTGTTGGGTCCTCGTTTTGAAGAGACAGCGCCCCGCGTCCCTCCTCCTCCTCTCCTCCTCTTCCCCGTCCTCCATCCTCCCTGCGTTTCGCCCACCCAGTTCAACGTTTCGTGGCCCCACGGAGCTCCACCGAAGGCTCCAGTGGGACCGCCCGCATGCGTCATCCACACCAAACGCAGCATTTCGTGGCCCCATAGAGAGCTCCACCGAAGGCTCCAGTGGGACCGCACGCCTGCGTCATCCACCACCCAGTACAGCGTTTCGTGGTCCCATAGGGGGCTCCACCGAAGGCCGCAGTGGGACCGCCCGCGTGCGTCATCCACCACCCAGCACAGCGTCTCGTGGTCCCATAGGGAGCTCCACCGAAGGCCCTAGTGGATCCGCCCGCATGCGTCACCCACCACCGAGCACAGCATTTCGTGGCTCCGTAGGGAGCTCCACCGAACGCTTCAGTGGGATCGCCCGCATGCGTCATCCACCACCCAGTACAGCGTTTCGTGGCCCCATAGAGGGTTCCGCCGAAGGCCCCAGTGGGACCGCCCGCAATTGTCATCCACCACCCAGTACAGCGTTTCGTGGCCCCATGGACGGCTCCACCGAAGGCCTTAGTGGAACCGCCCGGATGGGCCATCCACCACCCAGTACAGCGTTTCGTGACCCCATAGGGAGCTCCACCGAAGGCCACATTGGGACCGCCCGCGTGCGTCACCCACCACCCAGTACAGCGCTTCGTGACCCCATAGGAAGCTCCACCGAAAGCCCCAGTGGGACCGCCCTCATGCGTCATCCACCACCCAGTACAACGTTTCGTGGCCCCATAGGGAGCTCCACCGAAGGCCCCAGTGGGACCGCCTGCGTGCGTCACCCACCACCCAGCACAACACTTCGTGGCCCCATAGGGGGCTCCACCGAAGGCTTCAGTGGGACCGCCCGCATGCGTCACCCACCGCCCAGTATAGCGTTTCGTGGCCCCATAGAGGGCTCCACCGAAGGCCCCAGTGGGACCGCCCGCATGCGTCATCCACCACGCAGTGCAGCGTTTCGTGGCCCCACAGGAGACTCCACCGATGGCCCCAGTGGGACCGCCCGCATGCGTCATCCTCCACCCAGTGCAGCGTTTCGTGTCCCGTCAGGGAGCTCCACCGAAGGTGTCCGTGGCGGAACTCGCATGGCGGCCCAATGGCGGAGTTGGCATGGCGGCGACTTTCGATATCCAGAGTTTTTTCGTCGTATTCGACGTATTGAGGCCGCTTTCGGGCCGCGCATGCCGGGCAGGAACCACCCTGCTCGCTCTCTCTGCTCCGCGCAGCGGACGACCCGCGCGCGTCGCCGGGACCCCTTCGGGGCGACCAGCGCGCGTGGCGGGGACTCCGTGCGGCGCCGTGCCCGAAGCCTTGGACGTGGGCGTGCACGGGCAAAGAGGGAGAGGACAAACGGGAAGGAAACGGGCGCGATCCTCGTGAGAGGCGTGCCGACATGGGCGTCGACATTTATGCACGTAGATTCACGCGCGCGCAGACTCATCCACAGTCAGACCCACTCGCTCTCAGTCTCTCGCACGCAGACCTATCGTCTTCGCTCGCGTTGTGTGCGCCGCCACGCATGTCGGCACGCCCCTCGCACGGCTCGTGGCCCTGTAGGGAGCGCCGGCGAAGATGATAGTCATAATTGCGGTATTCGCAACTGCATACGGTTGGGTCCTTCGCCAGGCTAATTTTTCCCAACCGACCTGTGTTGTTGGCTCCTCGTTTTGAAGAGACGGTCCCCGCGTTCCCTCCTTCTTTCCTGCCTTCCTTCCTTCCTTCCTTCCTTCTCCTCCCTCCTCCTCCCTCCTCCCTCCTCCTTGCGTTTCACCCACCAAGTGCAGCGTTTCGTGGCTCCATAGGGAGCTCCACCGAAGGCTCCAATGGGGCCGCCCGCGTGCGTCATCCACCACCCAGCACAGCGTCTCGTGGCCCCATAGGGAGCTCCACCGAAGGCTCCAGTGGGACCACACGCATGCGTCATCTACCACCCAGTGCAGCGTTTCGTGGTTCCTTGAGGGAACTCCACCGAAGGCCCCAATGGGACCGCCCGCGTGCGTCATCCACCACCCAGCACATCACTTCGTGGCTCCGTAAAAGAGGGTTCCGCCGAAGGCTCCACTGGGATCGCCCGCGTGCGTTATCCACCACCCAGTACAACGTTCCGTGGCCCCATAGAGGGTTCCGCCGAAGGCCCCAGTGGGACCGCCCGCGTGCGTCATCCACCACTCAGTGCAGCGTTTCGTGGTCCCATAGGGGGCTCCACCGAAGGCCCCGGTGGGACCGCCCGCATGCGTCATCCACCACCCAGCACAGCATTTCGTGGTCCTTGAGGGAACTCCACCGAAGGCTCCAGTGGGACCGCCCGCATGCGTCACTTTCCCTCAGTACAGCGTTTGGGTGACCCCATAAAAGAGCTCCACCGAAGGCCCCAGTGGGACCGCCCACATGCGCCATCCACCACCCAGCACAGAATTTCGTGGCCATATAGGGAGCTCCACCGACGGCTCCAGTGGGACCGCCCGCGTGCGTCATCCACCACCCAGTACAGCGTTTCGTGGCCCCATGGAGGGCTCCATCCAATGCCCCCGTGGGAACGCCCGCATGCGTCATCCACCACCCAGTGCAGCATTTCGTGGCCCCGTAAGGGGGCTCCACCGAAGGCCCCAGCGGGACCGCCCGCATGCGTCATCCACCACCCAGTACAGCGTTTCGTGTCCCGTCAGGGAGCTCCACTCCGCCTTAGGTCTCGGTGGCGGAACTCGCATGGCGGCCCTGTGGCGGAGTTCGCATGGCGGCGACTTTCGATACCCAGAGGTTTTTCGTCGTAGTCGACGTGTTGAAACCGCTTTCGGGCCGCGCGTCCCGGGCGGGAACCCCTTCGGGGCGACCACCGCGCGTGGCGGGGACTCCGTGCGGCGCCGCGCACGAAGCCTTGGACGTGGGCGTGCACGGGCAAAGAGGGAGAGGACAAACGGGAAGGAAACGGGCGCGATCCTCGTGAGAGGCGTGCCGACATGGGCGTCGACATTTATGCACGTAGACTCGCGCGCGTGCAGACTCATCCACAATCACACTCACGCGCTCTGTGTCTCTCGCGCACAGACCTATCGTCCTCGCTCACGTTGTGTGCCCCGCCACACATGTCGGCACGCCCATCACACGGTACGTGGCTCCGTAAGCAGCGCGGGCGAAAATTATAGTCACAACTGTGGTATTCACAGCTCGTATGGTTGGGTCCTTCGCCAGGAAAATTTTGCTGATGTTGCAGGGATGACGGGATGTAGTGCTGGCGTTTGCCCTGGTCAGGGGCGGGAAGCGAGGGGAATGGGGTGTATATTAACAAGAGGGGAGTACATAACCCCTTCCCCGAGTAGGGTAACAAGGGGCTTTGGATGATGGGAGCAAAAGAGCTCGTTATGCCACCTGCGCCCAGAGGATGTGGGGTTCTCATCACGGCCTAGTGCTTGGAGGGATGACTGCCTTCCAGCACCTCAGCCAAGACCCCCGGAGAAGCAAACTAGGACGTAGTTGCGTAGGCAAGGCGACGGGAATCTGAAACAAAGCGAGCAGGAATTTCGAGGGAGGTTGCATGCAATCTCGCAGAAAGCTAGCAGGGGGACTTGAAGGGATGGATGCCCAAGGGAGTACAAAAGAGAAACTGCCGAGCAGTTTCAGAGACGCCTTCGGAAGGCAACGAGAAGGTACGGCGTCGAGATGGAAGCACAACATTGAAATTACGGGTCGGTTTTGTGAGTTTTTCTCTGCGTTACCGCGCGCATCTGCCACCGCGACCGGGGGAGTCGCGTGACAGCGGGTACACAGCAGCGTCGCGTACATGATAAAATCGTGCCCATGCTGTGCCGTTTCCCACCCTCGCCGTGGCTGCATGTTTCCCTCGAGCTGCGATCGTCCCTTCACCCATGCCTCTAATCGGAGGTTGCTTCAGGTGTCCCTAGCCCAAGGTGCCCCCAGCTTTTCGGGCAATTTTTGGGCCCCTGGGGCTCTCTGGGCCTCGTGAGGGGTGTCCTGGAGGCCGCGGGGGCCTCCTTGGAAATCCTGGAGGCACCTCGGGCCAGGGGCACTTCTAGCAGCACCCGACCTAAGGGCTGCTTCCAACTCTGGGCGCCAAGGGGGGAGCGCATGGATAAACAAGACCTGACCCCCAGAGGCTGGGATTTTCTCTGCGCCCCCACCTATGACCCTCGTGTTAAGTCGGGCATGTCCCCCTACAGGAGGAATATGCAAAAATAATATAAGTTAATCAGGCGACGATTTTTCGATTATTTGTCTTTGTCAATTTTTGAATATTTGTTGGCTGTCATTTTTCCTCCAAGCTCCGCCTGTAGGAGGACATGCCCGACCTAGCCATACCCCTAACTGCTGCCTCCAACTCTGGGCGCCAATGGGTTGAGGGCATGGATACAAAGACCCGACCTCCAGAGGCCAGGATTGTCTCCGCGCACCCACTCTGCCCCCTCGTGGAGGCGGAGCAAGAGCGGGGGCACCGGCAGAATACAAAATATAATCGCCTGCTCGAGCCACCGGCAGGTGCCGCCTCGGGCGCGGCGAGCGGTCCCGAGGCTGACGCTGCTGCCGCGGCCAGGGATGCGCTGGAGGGCGTGCCTGCAAAGGACCCAGGCGCTGCGCACAGTCAGGCCGAGGTCGCCGAGGTCGTCGCCGAGGTCGTCGCCGAGGTCGCCGACGGCGCCGACGGCGCCGAAGGCGCCGAGGTCGCCGACGGAGCCGAGGTCGCCGAGGGCGCCGAGGTCGCCGACGGAGCCGAGGTCGCCGCGGGCGCCGAGGTCGCCGACGGAGCCGAGGTCGCCGAGGGCGCCGAGGTCGCCGACGGAGCCGAGGTCGCTGCGGGCGCCGAGGTCGCCGAGGGCTTCGACAGCGCCGAGGGCTTTGACGGCGCCGAGGGCGCCGAGGGCGCCGAGGGCGCCGAGCCTCGGCGCTTCGACGGCGCCGAGCGTGCCGACGGTGCCGAGGGCGCCGAGGTCGCCGCGGTCGCTGCCGACGGTGCCGACGGTGGGCGGGGAGGGCGTGGTTAGAAGCTGCGCTACGAGGTACCGACCTCCCGTGCCCTGCCTAGCTAGACTGCTGCACTGGTCACTGCAGCTGCACCTCTCTGCAACGGAACTGCACCAGTGCTTGCACGAGAATGCACACGCACCTCCCGTGCCCCTCCCTTCCTGCCTAATACCTGCCTGCCTGCCTGCCTCCCTGCCTGCCTGCCTGCCTCCCTCCCTCCCTCCCTCCCTCCTGTCTCTCAGCCCCACGCCTCTCCCCCTCCATCTCCTCGGGCTGGCCGTCTGGGCCTTTCGCGACTCCCCATGTCGCCCAGCATTTACCTCATTTACCTCTCTCCTCTCTCCCTCCGCTCCCCTCCCTCCTCCCTCCTCCTCACCCTTCCTTCTCGACGGCGCAGACGGCGCAGACGACGACGACGGCCGCGACGGCGGTCCCGGGATGTCTCTTGAGGTCCCCGGAGGTCCGTGGAGGCCTCTGGAGGCCACTGAAGGGCTCTGGGGCCCGAGGAGGGTCCCATGTGTCGAAAACCTGGGTCCTCCATCGACGACGTTGACGACGTCGACGACGGCGACGACGACAACGCCCTTGCGCGTCCCATTGGGAGAAAGAAGAGGAGGACAAGGATGAGAAGAAGGAGGCTGAGAAGGAGGATGAGGAAGAGGATGAGGACCAGTGTAGACCCAGGACTCATCAACGATATTGCAGTACACCCTCCCTCAAAGTTTCCTCTTCGTAGGCCACAAGGATTCATTTCACTTGGGGAATTGCCCCGTTTGGAGATAAACGTTTGAAAACCCTGAACTGTGCCAGAACGCCATTCCTTGGACTTCAGCGCCGCGAATCGCAGCTACGGTTGCGTCTTGACCATCCTGAATCGTGCCAGAAAGCCGTCTCTGCGAATCAACGGAACTGCTGCGCCATGACAGTCCGACATCGTGCCAAAGCACTCTTTTTTGGATGTTACCCATGCTAGTTTTTGAACGTGTTGTACACTCTTAAGAAGAATGTGCGCGGCACTCGGACGAGAGCCACATGTTTCAAACTCGTATAATATGTTAAGACGAATGTTCGCGGCGCCAATGCGAGAGCCACATTTTGAAAACGACCCGCCCTCCATCCGTGATGCTCTTGCGAACTTTAAGACGAATGTGCGCGGCGCTAAAGCGAGAGCCACATTTTGAAAACCACCCACCTTCCATCCCTGAAGCTGATGCAAATGTCAAGCGTCAGGATCATATTTGATGGGAAGTCTCAGGCGAACCGCCCGGCCCGCCCATTCGACCAGCCTCGGGGTGCGACAGGGAGGAGTTATTCATAAGAGACAGGAGCGGAGGAGGAGGAGGAGGAGGAGGAGGAGGAGGAGGAGGAGGAGGAGGAGGAGGAGGAGGAGGAGGAGGAGGAGAACGACGACGAGGACGACACCGACCGACGGCCCAAGTCTGCTCAAAATCGTTCCCTGGACCTCCCCTGGGGTCCATCCTGAGCTGCGTTTTTCACCGCGCAGGTGTCTGGGGGTCCCAGGGCCCGAGCCAGGCCCACAGACGCCGAAAGTGTCGAACACATTCCCGAGCTTCCAGCCTCGATCGATCGGCCGACGACGACGACGACGTCCTTGCGCGCTGTTGTGGTCCACGCTTCCCAGGGGGGGAGGGGGAGGCGGAGGAGGAGGCGAGGAGGGGGACGAAGACGTCGGCAACGGCGAGGTCGGCCGAAGCCTGGAGCCCCCCTGGGGTCCATCCCTGCCCAGCTTGTCACCCCAGAGTGGTTTTTGACGGTCCAGGGTCCGAGACGGGAGCCCTGAGGTCGAAATCTGTGATCCGAGCCCATCCCGTATTTTTTTGTCAAAAAACAAAAACCCGAGAGCGGTTCTTGCCGGTCCAGGGCTCCGAAACGGGCCCCCTGAGGTCGACATCGGCGATTCGAGACTCGAACCTCGATCGATCGATCGATCGACGATGACGCCGGCCGCCGCCGCCGCCGCCGATGACGATGACGACGACGACGACGCTGGCAACGACGACGACGACGCCGACGGCGGCGACGACGAGGACGACGACGCTGGCGACGACGACGAGGACGGCGACGGCGGTCCCAGGTGGGGCCGCCGGGGACGCCGGCGCCGTGGGCGGCGGCGCGGAGGACGGCGGTGGCCGCTCAAAGCCAGGTCGCCCTGGTCGCCCTGGTCGTCGTCGTCGTGGTCGTCGTCGTCGTCGTCGTCGTGGTCGTCGCTGTCGCTGAGGTCGTCGCCAGTTTTTCCCAACCCTCCTGTGGAGTTGGGTGCTCGTTCTGAATGCGCAGCGCCGTGTCCCACCTTCTCCTCGTCGTCCTCCTCCTTCGCCTCCTCCTCCTCTTCTTCCTTCCCTTGCCCATGTCGGCACACCCCTCACACGGATCGTGCCCCACAGGGAGCTCCACCGATGACCCCAGTGGATAGTTCGCATCGCGTCCCCTCGGTCATTCGGGCACCTCCTTGACGCGAATGGTGCTCGCCAGGGAGCTCCACATATGGCCCTGGTGGACAAGTTTGCATGCGGGCCTCCGCTCAGTCAGGCACCTCCCTCATGCGGATGGTGCCCAACAGGCAGCTCCACCTGAGGCCTCAG